GCCATATTTAATACCTTGTAGTCCGAGGGTCGCATTTGGTAGGCACACATACTTATAAGATAAAGAGTTGTGTAAGGCATCCCATCACATAACTCCCTCCCCACCCTCCCCGTTAAGCAGTTCATTTCAGTTGACTCACAAGTTTTCACAAGCGATTTTTTGTATGCCAAGTGGCACATCCTACTCTGCCCTGTGGGACATCCTGGGTCTTACATTTCCTCCCTTTATTCTTCCGCCATAACAACCCAACGAGACCCCATGATAGCTTTTCAGTAGGAAAAACAAAGTAATGCCTTCATGAAATCTCAGGAGGAAACGAGGAAACGCCGTTAGAAAGGAGTCCCTGGGGAGCTGACATGACAGCGTAGGTTGCCGTAAATAGAGCTAATTGGAGGTTATCAGTTGCAACACTCAATGCCACACTTGGGGAATTAATCTTTGCAGGAGGAAACAGAGTTCCACGCTCTTGAGCGAAATAATTTTAGGCGCAGTTCGGCTTGCTAGGGCAACAGATGGTACTGAGCCAAGGCAGATCAGTCCATTCTGTAAAGAACCTGCCAACTCCTGGAACCGAAGCGACTCATTCAGCAAAAATTCGCTAGCTCACAGAACGTTAACAAAGGTCCTCACCAAAAGTGTAAGACTGTTAATTAAGATGAACTAGCAAAAGGAACTAGAAGACTGCAAATGCCCCTTCCAAGCCGAACAGCGTACAAGCCCATATGGCCATCACCCTACCCTTTAGCAGCTTCCACACGCATGCAGGCTTGGAGCTGAAACATTTTTGGGAAAAATTAGCCTCGTTTTTGCTCTCTCCGAACTTTAAGAACCCTTTTGGTTGGTTGGTATGCTTTATAGCGCTGTAAATCAGAGTTTTTGAAGAAACGGAGTCTTTTCGAAAGAATCAATCGACCACATTTCGGTCGCTGGGCTCTTCTTTTACACTTTTGCATACATTTGCAGCCTAAAAAGCTGCCATGGAAGGTGGTCTCGTTCTTCGAGAAAGAATGCCGCCACAACTTTTCATGTTCGCGTCATATTTGCATTCCGTAAAGGAATATGAGTGATTGGTACAGTAAAGAGTTCTTGGGTGTTCAGGAAACCGTAGCGCGCTCCAGACCTTTTGCTATCAAACCAGAGGTCAGAAAGCGGGGAAGAGTACTCCTGCTTAAGAGGTTTAGCCCCCCCCAGGGAAATAATTATTGTACTGAGATTTCGGAGGCCACACTGAAGTGGAATGACCAAGTAAGTACACAGTACTTTTTGGTTACTTCTGTCTTCGGCACCCTCTTACTGCGCGAAATCTATGAACAGAAGATTCTTTCGTCGCAATGGGCGTTATTAATGGTCCCCTTGTACCTGTTTTCCAGTTTTGTGCTCCAGTGTCATTTAATTCAGAGAACGAATAACCTGAAGAAAGTGCAGGAGCTATCAACCTTGGGAGGGCGGGGGGGGGCTACAAGCATGCCGATTTTTTGAGCCGTGATAACACTGCACATGTGAATACCGAACAATCGTATCTTACCCTGCGGGTCTTGTGAATTCCTGTCAGATTCCTGTAAACTCCTGTCAAGCTTGGCGAAATGGTACCAGGTTTCGACACAGGGTACAGCATCGTTGTGTCAAACCCATGGGGGGTCGTACTTTTGCTCTGGGGAGGGGGGTCGTATTTGTAAGACAAATTTATTTTGATAGTTGATTTTTTCTTGTGGAAAAGGGGGGTCGTATTAATTTTTTATATGCACTATATGCATTTTGTACGCCCGTGGGATATACGTTGCATAGTAATTGTATACCCCCCGCTCGACAACTTTTTCGCCGACTATATATGACACTTCCTGAACATGATCTACACAGGTGCTAAGGGTGATAACAAAGGTTACACAGGGTGTTGACAAGTTCGTATAGTCATTCCACATACATGGATATACCAGAGTTTGGCCCATGCCGTGCTGCCAAGCACTTACTAGCTTGTGTCCCTCCCCCTTCCACCCCCCTCCCAATTCACCCCTCCCCCCTCCCAAAGTTCCTTTTGGCGCCGGACATTCGGATTTTCGAGGCAAATCAGTAAGATCGGATGCTTCTTCCTGCCGCACCTTCGGAAAGCAAAGACGGGTACAGGGCTGTTTTTTCAAGCTTCCAGGTCCTGCAGAGGTCTTGAAGACACGACTAGATCGGGGCTCACAATCAGAACCACTTGCCATTCTAACCAGCTTTGACTACCCCTGGCAATTCCTGGGACGGGCTGCTCTTTTCATGGACGGAAAGCCTTTTTATCGTGGTGGTTTAGTGGTACCTAGTGGAGAAAAAAGGCTTCCAACAGAAAGGCTTACTTTGTCAAGCACATTAATAACAAGTTAGCCAGGGGAGTATGGTTTGCAGAAAAGCCAAAAGAGTCTCACTGAAAAAAACATAAGAAAAATTTAGAAAAATAAAAATATACTTTCGTGTGCAAATTCTCGGATCAAAAGAAAAATGTGGACGTAGTTTACTTTGATTTCATCAAAGCCTTCGATAGGATACCGCATAATGTGTTAATTCATAAGCTTGCTCATTTTGGTTTTCATCCTCTGGTTGTAAAGTGGATTCAGGATTTCCTTGCTAACAGAACATTTCAAGTTCGGGTTGGGGACTCGTTATCAACAGTGCGTGAGGCATGCAGTGGCGTACCTCAAGGAGCTGTGCTCTCCCCTGTATTGTTCAACATTTTCACTGCTGACTTGCCGAATATTTTGACCAGTCCAGGTGTTTTATGTAATCTATATGCCGATGATATCAAGATTTTCAAAGTTGTTCATGAGGTTGAATCTGACTGCTCTCTGCAATTGGCAATCAACAGGATAGTGGATTGGTCCAAGGCTAACGGTTTCCTCTTATCATTGGAAAAAACCCAAGTGATGCGTCTGGGTGAGCATCAGTTGAATCCTAAGTATTTCGTGGAGAACGAAGTCCTAAAGTCTGTGAAGGAAGTTAGAGATCTTGGGTTTTTGTATGATTACAAATTAAATTTTAGTAAACATTACAAGGCTCTAGTGGGTAAAGGTATGCGTCGGATCTACAATATTTTCAAAGCCCTCAGAACTAAAGACGCTAGCACACTTTTACGTACTTATAAACTCTATGTTCGCCCTATTGTGGAATGTGGGACAACTGTCTTCAATCCCCACTTGAAAAAGGACATCAAAGCCATTGAAAGTGTACAGAACAGTTTTACACGTAAGTTAATGCTCAGATGTTCGGGGCTTAGCTATTCTATTCCTATTGGCCACTGTAGAATTCTCGTACGTATGGTCTCAAATCATTGGAATGGAGGAGGAAAAGATACGACTTACTCATGACCTTCAAAATTCTTAGAAACTTGGTTAAATTGAATGTTGAAGGACTTCTTCAATGTGTTGCCAGCTAGCACAAGGGAGTTTCGTTTAGATTGTCTATCAACACGGCTAGATCTAGGTATAGGTCGAAGTTTTTCAGTAGTAGAGTGTGCTCCTACTTCAACTCTCTGTTGCGTTCTAAATGTATTCCCTCTAAAGTATTCCACTTTCAAGAAACATGTTGGTGATTGTATTGAATAATTTTTACGTTATGGTTGTTTTACCTACTGCTGGATGTTCGAAACTTGTTTTTATTTTATTTTACATGTTGCTATGACATGTCCAATAAATAAATAAATAAATGTCCATGTTTCTCCGAATAATTTTCTTGGAACGAAACATACCTGAGGGTGAAGTCGCTTAAGAGAAGTCTTTCATAGGAACGCTATGCGGCCTACTAATAAAAATTCCTAGTGCAAAAGTATTCTTGTTAGGAGTACTCTTCATTAGTTTATTGATCTTCTCAGCTAACGAACAAAACCCCATCCCTCCCTGGACACGTAGATGTCAGAGTAATAGCGCGGTGAAGTTCTGCCTATTCTGGCGGAACATGCGGGTGTCGCAAACGTTGGCACCCGCCAACCGCATCAAAGTTCGCTTGCACTAACGCGTCGTTCGCTCTCTACTCTCTTATCGAATCGCTCCCGCTACTGGGCTCCTTGAACGCTGTTGCTACTCACTGCCACCGCTGCCGGATGCCAGAGTTGCAGGTTGAGATAACAGGGGAAGGGGTGTGTGGTTCCTTCATAATTCCTCCATCGGTTCCTATTGGGCAGCAAAGATAGTGGTCACTCCTTTCACTTTACTTGTCTTTGTTAAAGTCGACTGTCGTTTAGGAGCCCTCCAGCATTTTGCGACAACGCTGGCGTGTAAGGCGTCACCTTCGCGACATTCGCACCAGGATCCAAATGATTTACCCTGTAAAGGTTACAGTATGTCAGACAAATCGAGAATCCTTTGCTATCCCCTCCTTCCCCCCTATTGTGAATCTCCTAAACGACATGCACTAGAAGCCTCGAGGCCCCGTGGCGATGGAGACGGAGGCGGCGGACGAGGGTAGCACGAGCAATTGGACCGGAGTGCTTCTGCACTTCTTATAGTGCAACACCCAATAGCTCGGCTTTCGAGCTTTACTCATTCAGCTTCAACATGAATGTCCTCGCTCAATTAAAGAAGCAGCTCCAGCTCCTTCGTTTCATCTTCTCTTTTTATGAGCTCCTTTCAGTCAAGGACAGGCTTTTTGAGGGTTCCAAGCACGACTTGCTTCCTCGAAATGCTCCCTCGTAAAGTCCTCAAATCGCGATTTTCAGCATTCCAGCAAGCCTATAATTCCCTTTGGACTTCTTCTTTACACGGCTTTTTCCGTGCGATTAACGAGAGCACGTTCCTTTTTCCAAGTGCTATCGATCCCCGCGTTGGTCTGTGAACGACCCAAAGAGTACAACTGGCCCAACCAGCTTTCTGCACTTCGCGTTCTTTGCTGCATTCAGGCCATCGCTTGTCGCCTAACCAATTGTTCTGTCATTACCTATTCTTTGGTTTTGTTCCGCATTCCTTTGTGTTTCATTCATCGTAAAGCTCTTGTGGATACGGTAGCTCAGGAATAAGGTTTCTGTGCTTTCAGATATGCCAAAACGGAAAATGCTAGTCGATCCGGTATTGGAGCCTTTTCTAGGGAAATATGAAGACGTGGACGATTATCCGAATTATGACGGTTAGTTTAAGCCTCGTAGTTGTGCGTAGCCATGCTGTTCTCCGAATGCCCTTTTGGGTTACGCATGGCCAACGTGGGGAGGACGGATGGACGGATGGACGGACGGCTTCGGCTGGCCGGCATGTCTGCTCCGCAGTTCAAAACGTCAATGAGAAGGGCGTGTGTACAACGCACACTCACACACACAAAAGTTCATGAATCGATTTTTGTTCGCATCGCTCTCGAAACGAAAGTCGTCATCATCCTTGACGTTGCAGGGCTGGCTGAACGTCGCAGCCTGGGCTCAGCTAGCTGTCCGGTCCGTGCTAGCCGGCTCCCAGGCAGACAGCCAACCCTCCTCGTTCTTCATGAAAGGACGATCATTGTGCGTGTGTGTCTGTTCGTGCATATGTGACTTTGAAGGCTTTTTCTTCTCACCTTCTGTCTCAGCATCGATCGTGTTATCGTTCGGGATGGGTGTAGAGTTCGTTCGGCTCGCTATGAAGGCGGCCGGCGCGATCGCGTTGATCGAACACACGCACGAATAAACCAAATTTCGCTGCCCTTCTTCTTAAATCCTCTTCTATTTCTCCGTATCCTTTACCGTTTTTTCCCGTTTCCATGAACTTTCCCACGCTTTTCAGCGGCGAACGCCTTCGCCGTCGACGTCTATGGATCTGAGCGCCGCCCAAAGCAAACTGATCTGTGACGTTTGTGGAGATGTGGCGTTCGGAAAGCACTACGGTATCAACGCGTGCAATGGCTGCAAAGGTTTCTTTCGGCGAAGGTGGGTTGGTTCCCAAGAGTGAACTGGGCGCTGTTCGGCTTGGAGGAGGCATTCTACGCTTCCGGTATACCTTTTGTTAGTTCATTTTGTTCAGTGGAATAGGGCACCACAATTTGGCACTCGGCCAATACCACCCTCTTACTTTTGAGGCATAAGGCACGATAATTTGGTACTTGGTCTGAAATGGTAGCAGGGATGCTGTATAGTAGGACAATGGCGAAAAAGCGAAGCGAAATGATTGAAAATCTGCAAAAAAGCCTTTGTTTTACACGACCCAGAAAGCAATTTCGGACGAGTTTCCCGTTGGCATCGTGCCAATACGATAGATACGGTTGCATATTTGTTTTGATATATCCAAACAGCACCGCAGCCGTCTCATATCAGTCCTTTCGCTTCGTATTGTTCTTCGCATGCAGAGCGATTTGATAATTGGCATCGTTCCGACATCTGTGAGTGGGCGGAAACGCTGGGCGTCGGGGTCGGTATGTTGCACCTTGATAGGGCCTTATTAGGGTACCCTCCTCAAAAAATGCGCTACGCAGAGCCTCTTGGGGGGCCAAATTCTGTCCTGCGAGGCGTATTAATCCTACACCTCTTGGAAATTTATCGTGCCATTTGCCTCTACGTGACAGATCTCATGTTAGACCTGAAAAGCTGCGAAATTGTCCGAGTGACCACTTTGGTCACAGAAACTCTCAGGTCTTCTCAAAATGACTAGTACAAGCTTAGCTGAGTACCATTTAGTGCCCCCACCAAGCTGAACTGCGCTGCAGGCTGTCCATTTCCTATCTATCAAACGAAATTCTATACATTCCAGCGTGTGGAGTCGTCGGCAGTACTCGTGTCGGTTTGGTGGCGATTGCCCGGTGGTGAAGGAACATCGAAATGTTTGTCGGTCATGTCGATTGAAGAAATGCTTCGAAGTAGGAATGAATCCTGATTGTGAGTCAGCACTGGTCGCAAAGACCAGGACGGACAGGCATAAATCTCTGGGCGCATCCCCTTACTGCATAATTTCAGCTGTGCAAAACGAACGTGATCGGAATGTGAAATCCGGTACGACGATGCCAATGGCGCCGTTAGCTAATGGGATCTTCAAACGGAAAAAGGTCCGACCACAAATGAACGAGCAAGCAAGTCAGGTAAGAAGAGACAACGACGGCTTTTTTGACATCTTTCGGAGTGCCCCACGCACATTACCCTTTGTTGACCATTCTGGACGCATTGCCGGCCAACAAAAGACAATGACGACTTGTTTGGCCTTTCCATGGAATGCGCCATGCACTCTGTCTCTGTTAGCCATTTCAGAGATATTGTCAGCCAAGCAATGACTTTTGCTGTTTTGCTGAAGTTCCTTTCCATCACATCATTTTTCTAAAGATTGTCTGACCATAATGGTGAGCGAGAGGGGTTCTAATCGTCACCGACTTTTTTTTGGTAGAGATGTCAGATACTTGGGAGTGACTCTTGATCTCTACTGCCTCACTTCTGCACAATTCTGTCTTCTAGTAGGATTGCCCACCTTTTAGCAGATCAATCGGACTGTTTAGTGAAGTTTTTGGAATGGCAGGATCGGATAGAATTCGGTTCCAGGGACATAAAT